AAGTGACCAAACAGATAAAGGAGGCACTGTTGTGGTGGCCGCCCCCATTCAAGGACCGAATTCAAATGGGTACCCTCCCCCGAGGCCCAGCTGAACGAAGCTCAATGCCTCAAAGGTGCAGAGCTGCCTCCGTGGACATGCTCTGCGGCTGATATTATAATTTTCATAATGCGCTTTTATGTCGCTCCAGACTCCTCTGGTGAGGAGCCCGCAGAGCTGCTGAAAGGGGCTTTGAGAAGCCCGGGCGCGAGGCTGCTGCGAGCTGCGCGCCCCCCGCCGGCCTGACTGGCATCGCGTGCCCCGGCCGGGGCGCGGCTCCTGCTCCGCCAGCGCTGCTCATTAGCATGCACCCCGGGTGCTCCCGCAGCTTCCTCTAATTTGCCGGCCTCTCCAAGCCCCTCCAGGTCTCTCAGTCTGCCTGGATGCGAGGGCCGCGGCTCGCCCAGGCTAGGCTCAACCGGGCTCCAAGCCAGGGGACCTGTTGGTCAGCCAGGCCTTAGGGAGGACCAAGGTGCTAAGATGTGGGTGGAAACTCCGCAGCACCCAGGGGCCGAATAGGGTTAGGGTCTGGGCTATGGCTGCTTTCCCAGGGACACGTGGCCTGAGAGCTTCCCAACCAGGGCCAGAATTGAGAGGAAGCCTCTTCCCTGTCATAAGTGTGGACACTGAGGAAGCATCAATCCTTTAATCCTGGTAGAGGGTTAGGAACAGTAGTTTACCCAAGAACACAGAGCTGCGCCCAGTTCTAAAGCGCGTGCCCAGTTCTAAACCAGTCGTTCTCTGAGAGTCCTTGCTTTGACGGAGCTGGTGACCGCTTTCCTAACATTGCTATGAGAGGGGGCCACAACAATCAGACCACCAGCAAACCCATTTGCCAGGTCCCTAATAGGCAATACAGATCAATTATGGATTCATCAAAACTCATGGTCCCCACCTATACTAAGTCATTAGAGTTGAGGAATAGTTCAGATTACCCCCACACCTTCATTTTCATCCTCACAGTAGGAATTTGCATAAAATACTTAGGGTCTCTAAGAGGCTAATCAGACAATTCACACTAGTCACCAATAAACACGTTAAAATATAAACTATGTATTGCAGTGAAACTAAAAAGAAAACAAAAACCTGCATTGTAAAAGAACTTCTCATAGTTTTTATTAGCCCTGGATGGAAAATTTTAAAATATAACTTTAACTTAACCTTAGTGCGTATAACAGGTCACTTTATAGTAGACTAAGGGCTGCCATTCTTAAGTGATTTCCCCTGCCAAACCTGGGAACTGTTCAAAAGAAATACCAGGAAAAGTTGTAAGACTGTAATTAATCATCCCCAAGGCCAAAGTTATACAGCTTTTAAAAGTTCTTATAATTATTCTCTTAGGTAGGGAGTCTATTCAGATTGCCCAGTGCTTTCTTAAGAAGCCCAAAGTTTGTACTGATAATGACAGAGTGATTAGTATGTGTCCCTCTAATTCATATTTGTTCAAAAAGCATACATGTACCAAAGAAATAAACACTGGTATATTATAAGCCCTAAGTCCCCAGGAAACAGGGATTTAAGTAGAAGTAAAATGAACAATGTGTTCACAGCCAGGTTATCACTGCTGTAAGAATGTCTATCCTGAAAGCAATCGCCCCATAAGTCCTCTGGGCCATATCATGGCCCCAGTTGTCTATCAGTTTTTTCCTTGGCATAGTTAGGAGAAATATTAAGTTGTTGGAATGCTTGCCATGCCCTGGATGGTAGAAATTAAGCTCACATGTCCATCTGCATTAATACTACATGGTCAATCAAAAATCAATGTCAGATGGGTTTTTTTTTATCTATACAAAGTCATGTAAGGCTTAATCTAAACTTGATAACTTATATGACTCTCAAACTAGGCAATAGATCCAAAAGCACAACCCACAGAATCCATCTCCAGAGTTATTGTGTTTGATTTTCTTCCCTAAGTCAGCTTCATTGTTCTTGTTTATGACCCTACTGGTTTAGTCCTACATATCTAACAGTGATCCCAAATTACAGCTATAATCTGTTCTTCTTCCTGGTTTGTTGCAGAGCAATGAAAGATAACTACATCTGAAATTGGGAAATAGCAGCTGCTCATACATTTCCTCATTAAATAAACATTGGGATACCTGCTGATTGAAGCCATTTTGGGGTTTGGATGGGAATGGCTTTTTAAAACCCTACCCATATGTTAGCCTCTATTAAATTCAACCACTTTGCTCTGAATGCCTCTAAATCAAAGGTTATTAAATTCTTATTAAAACTTGAAAACACTGTAAAGTAAAATGGTATTGCATACTTGCAAAGAAGCGGTAATGTACCAATTTTAGCAAGTAGTTATAAAAATTATATACATGGTAGATTGGGACCAGAAGGTCAAATCACTTAGAAAATTTACAATGTCTACTTAAATGGTTTTTGTTTGAATTACCTAGCTAAATGAGAACTGGGGATAGGTTTGGTTTAAATTATTAATTCTATATTGCCTTTTAAACTCCTCCCAAAATTCTTAGTAAACCACATAATTTTCAGAAATGGTAAGATTTGACAATAACTACCAAGATAATGACCTTTATAGAAGATGTAATGATAGTAAGTTAATGAATGTCATTACTGAAAATCAGAAAAATGTTATTGCTCTCTCTTGTACATGTTAACATAAGCTTTAAAAGATTTTTCAAAAGCATTACTGATCATTGTAAAATTATGGATTTATGCCTGTGCCTAATGATTGATTTAAAATATTATGGTACAAAGTGAATTGTACATGGATTGCTTGGGATACATGTGGTAGGTACCTAGAGAAGTATAGAGTTAGAACGAATTATATAGAGTTGGGGTATAGCTCAGTAGTAGAGCACATGATTAGTATGCGTAGTATGTGCAAAGTTTTGAGTTTAACCTAACACACCAAAAAAAAAAAAAAAAAACCTTTTTGAGAATGAATTATACAATAAAATTAAAATTTATCCATAGGCCCACTGGACAGTTAAAGCTCAAAGTAGCTCCTTTTCCTCTCTCCTCAGATTTTTGGGAGAGATAGATAGATAGATAGATAGATAGATAGATAGATAGATGGATAGATAGATATGCAAGTATATGTTGGAATATTTTAATTTCCTTCATTTTATTGTAAGTAGGGAAAAGTAAATGGGAATATCATGAGTCTAGATAATTCTCAACAACCAATATCTTTCATAAAAGGAGAACTCCTATGTCTAACTCCCCAAATGGGCTGTTGGCATTGATTTAATTGACCTTGCTCTTCCTTTGGCCTGTTGTAGACATTAGCTTATTAAAGGTATGCTGTCAGTGGGAGGAGGATCTCACAAGACTGGATGTAAATGTCTTTTACTGCCCCCTCCGTGTGTGTGTGCGTGTGTGTGTGTGTGTGTGTGTGTGTGTGTGTGTGTGTGTGATGGATATGGGGAAGAAAATGCCTGATTTAGTCAAGGGCAGGAGAGGAAGAAAACACTACAGCTACACCTGAAGTATTGTTATACTGCCATAAATATAGCATGACCACCACTTTATCTGCTCAGGCTTAGTTTTTTCATCTGAAACATGGGAAATCAAACCAACCCAGATATTTCCTCTTGAGTCTATACTGCTGATGCTTAGGAGAACCTGTACCTTACAAAGCCAAGTGACTGTCACAGACGCAAATACAAGTTTCCAGAACATAACTTCATATCTGAAGCTTTAGGGCATACTTGACTATCTTCTTTTCACACTATATGTATAGAACATAGCGTACTGCATATAACTGACTTTTTTCTTTAGATCAATAGGGCCTCTGCTCTCACCAATAGTGACAGTAATCAAAAGACTTTTACTATGTATACAGGACATGTTAGAAGCCCCAAATTAAAATTTTAGAAGTGACTATTTGATGTGGTAGATGGGTTTCTGAAAGAAATCGTTTAAAATGCATTTCAATGGTGAATAAAATTCCACCATTTTATTTATTTATATGTCTTCAGGCATACTTTTACCATTTATCCTGACTGGAAGTGAATAACAAAATCTCAACTTTTGGTTTTTCTGTTCCACTTTCTCCTTGCCCCCTCTTACTATGAAGATACTATGGATAGCAGAAATATATTTAAAATAAATATGAAGAGTGAAAGAGGGAGCAATTTAAACATGTGTAAATATTTTAGATAAATAATTCTAATAACTATATTTTTTTCCCTTCATGGATTTACTGTATGCAGTGGTCTTTCTGAAAGATGCTTTTAAAATTAAAATGTCACTTAGTAGACATGTTTTTCTTATATAAAATGTAAAAATAGATAAAATGGTATTGAAGGAGTGAGGCAGTCATTCAAATAACCATACATTAAGTTACAATGGCTAGTACTTGAAAGTAATGCTTATTAAAGACAAATGAGGCAAGGTAGTGGTGACCTTGTTCAAAATCTCCAGTTGCCATTTTAAATCTCACATGGCGTCTCTTCAAAAATTGCAAATTATTTTAGCTAATAAAGAGTACTTAACTAACTGTAGCCTTAGCTATGTGCCTCATTCAAAACTAATAAAGCCAGTAAGTTAATAACAGTAATTAACTCCCACTGTATCACACTCTCATCTATAGATGTTTTGTAATATATATTTGATATTTAGCAAATTTGGAAAAGCAAAGCACAGAAAGGAAATGATGCCTGTGTGATGGATATTGGGCTGGGAGGAGTCCTATATCAAGAAAAATAAATGTTTGTTGCATAATTGTGTGTGCTTCCACAAGATCCATGAGTTCATAAGGACACATGGGATAATTCACAAATGGCCAAGAATGACAATCATGGTTTCTCCATGGAAAACCAGTGATTCTTCCAGAAGTTTTTAAGATACTTGATTAACCAAAGACATTGAGTAAAAAGATTATCAAAATAAAAATATTTTTGACACCAAGAGTCAATAAGATTCAAAAGAAGGGGCAATTAAACTGAGATAATGAATTCAAAGTGACCATAATAGAATATGCAAAATAAACAGATAACTTTTAATAATGAAGAAAGGTACAAAAGATTGTTTGCTAAGAAATCATTTCATCTAATATTCTGAAAGTTCTCTGGAGATATTGGGTTAATATCCTTTTGTGGTTTCCTTCTGCTGTTTCTTTTAGTGTTTCCTTTAATTCACCTTATAGAAAAAGTCCATTCGTCAAGTTCAACAACAAGGACATAGTTGTCAGTGGTTGTTGTTGTTGTTGTTGCTGCTGCTGCTGCTGCTCTTAAGAAAATGCATTCACATCCCAGCATGGTGTCCAAAATGGTGCCCAAAGTGCCTTAGCAGCAACCACAAAGCAAATGAAATTTCAACACCAACTCATGGCCTTCTGCAATCAGTCTAGTTACAGAAAAGTATCGAGATCAGGCCCACATTCTGTTAATTTGAACAGTTTTTAAAGGTTTTCTTTTCTTCTGTGTTTTGGCGGAAACACACACTCACACCACGATAAAAATACTCAAATAACACACTTGGCAACACAGTGGGAAAAAAGGTCAGGCTACTATTGACAAGTATGTAAAGACACCCCCTAAACCATGGGAAAACATGTATAAATCGTTTCGACTCACTGCATTCAAAACCCATGGAAGAGAATCACAAAACTGCACTTTGGCATTGTTGGCCTGAAAGGATATCTATTTATCATCTTATAAGACAGCTCGAATGATCTTTATCTACTTTGCCCACTTTCTGACCCAAATTCAGGGTTTTTATGGAAAATTGCAGTCAGTTTGATTGATGAAATCCAAAGATGTCTAAAATGGCACCAAAGATCTCCAACTGTGCAGACTCCAACCGAGGGCTTCAATGTTGGCATTGTTCCTGAAGGAATAAAAAAAGAAAAAGAAAAAGTTGAGAAAACAGGCAAAAGTTACAGAATTTCTGCTTTAAAAACTTCAAATTTCAATGAAGATGCCCAAACCCATTATCCCTGTTCACACGTGCGAACTGGGCGGACATCAAAGTATTTCCCACACATCGCAACAAAACCGGATTCCTCTTGAACCAATAAACCTTCTTTGTAGCAGGCTGAATGCCGTAGCTACGGAGCGAGCAGGTTTCAGAAAGACGCTCACAGCGTGGAGCCGGGAGTTGGGGAGCCAGGGCGCCCGCTGGGGCGCAGGAGGGAGAAACGAGTCTATGCAGTCATCCCTACCACTGATGGGTTGGGACTTTGAAACGCCCAGTCCAAAAGAGGAATGGGAGCGACCACCGAATTCCTCCTTGCTCCGGGGCAGGGCAACCAAGCGCCCTCTCCTCTCCCTTCCCAGCCTGCCCGCGGCGCCACCATTAACCCAGAGGCAGACCGAGGCAGAGGGCCGGCGCCGAGGCCCACAGAAGCAAGAGACGGCCGGTCCACTTTGGGGGGCGATGCATTATAGTGGAATATTGTCACCTGCCTAATTGTTCCAAGAGGACCTCCTCCCCTTTGCCCACTAGCAATAATAGCTTGAACGTGCCTCCTACCCCGTTACCAGGCCCAGGAGCTGATGAATGAACCCAGTCGTAGGGGAAAATCTTGGGAGCTGTCTTCTGTCCTATTACCCAAGGGGGCCAGCTATAAATCTTCCTTCATTTTAACCACATTTACCCTCATCCTCCTCGGGGCTAGGGATGCTGCGTTAAGATTGCACTGATGTGCCAACGCTCTGGACCAGCTGCTCCTAAATACAGACAGGTCCTTGTCAATTAAGGCTTTGAGAAGCAGGTCCTCTGGGCCCTGGGGCATTGGAGCAGCCAGCAGCGTGCAGCCCCCACAATTAGTATCCATTTGGAAAGGACCTTCAGGGCACAAATGCACAGGCAAAGGAAGAATCAAAACACCAGGCAACTTCAATTCTGGAAATTGGTCTTGTAAGTGTTGTGAAACTGAACAGACGGCCCCCAAGAAGGGAGCTCAGATTTCTGGTGCGAGATGGGCCTCTCCCGCCCCCCTTCCCAATATTCTCCCTTTGTCTTGTTTCAAGCCAGGCAGTAGATTGAGTTTGTGGATAGAATAGGGTGGGAGGGAGGAGAGGAGAAAGATAAATGAATACATTCATTTGCCTGGTCCAAGCCAAAGTTGTCTTTTGGTGTCTTTTGTGGCCACCTCAAGCAGCTGGTCAATCCTGCCCGGACCCTGGCCTTTGGCCCAGGGGGCGCTGGACAAGGCAGGCGCTCCAAGGAGAAGAGCCGCGATGTAGCAGGTCAGCAAGGCCAAGCCACCGGTGGGCCAAGCAGAGCATTAGCAGCTCAGCTAAACAAAACCCAAAAGGCTCAGGGGGCCTGGGCCACCACTAGGAAAAGGTGTTTGTTTAAGCGATTAGGAGCAGTTGGTAGTTAGGGGTGGAGAAAAGGGCAGAGCTTGTGACACAGGGCAACTTAGCTGGACAGCAAGGGTGGACATTCAGAGAACATCACTGTTTAAGAATGTGTGACCCCACCAAGTTCAAGAACAGAGCAAACAGCACAGGCCACTAGGGACAGCCATCAAATGGATGGCAACAGAGCCGAGAGAGGCATTGAGAAAAATGTTTCAATATTAAATATGGAAGAGTATTGTGGGCTGGGGCAGGGGGTCAATGAAAGTCAACAAGAGCATGGGCTTAATGAGAGAAAGAATTTAATATCAAAAACGCATAAATCTGCAAGTGAGGCAGCCCCATAATGAACATAAAAGAACCAGTTCAGCCCACATTGTGTGATAATGGCACCATAATAGATAGCATCAGGTTGTTAACATTTAACACAAAAGTTAAGAGAATGAAAGGAAAGGCAGCTCCCTTAATTGAGAATCTGCTGGATGATTTCCACAGGCATCAGGGATGAATACCCATGAGGCCAGTGGCTTTGTCCACATCAGGAGAAAAGTAGGCTGCTCCTTCTGGAGCCTTCATGCCCATCCCTCATCTCCACCTAGAGTCAAAGTCCTTTTTCTGTCCTTTTTCCCATTGCAATGTTCCTTACCCATTTCAGCAAGGAGGTGAAGTGTATCCTTGTACACTTGGAGGCTGAAGGAGAAGGATCACAAGTTTAAGCCTACCCTGAACAGCTTATTGATTCAGTGAGACCTTGCCTGTAAGGGTAGGAGAAGGTGCCAGGGATGTAACTCAGTATGAAGACCCTGGGTTCAATCCCTAATGCCTGGGTGTAGTCTCTAGTTGCACAAAAACAGGTAAAATTCACTTGATCTTCCTAACTGAAGTAATCTAACAAAATTCCTAGCTGAGGAACGACCATATTTAAAAAAGGGAGAGTTTAGCTTTTGCTTTATTTTTCCTGCTGAGGATAAAAACAGGCATTTCTTCAGAAGGCGAACCAGCCAAAAAGCTTCAAAAGAATTTCTTATGTTCCTTACCTTTCCCCAATCAATAATACATCTTGTTTTTAAGAAACTTCTAAGCAGCAGAGTCCTTAAGATCTGGTGAAGCTTACTAGAGCACTATTTCTGCTGTTTATGCTAGATGTCTCTGAGACTTTATGTATACATATGAAAAGACCACTTCTTTAGCATCCACAGGTAGATGCCAAAAATCAAGGAGAAAATGTCCTATCCTGTCTGCAGCCCAGCTAGTGGCGCATCATTCCAGTTGTGCTCAGCTGCTGCCCAAGTCTCAGCATCCTCCAATTTCTGCAGAGCCGAAGGACAAAAGAAATCCCTCCCAGGCAGTCACTGTGGGGGCGTCCTCTACAAAGTGAAATCATGGCTCTTTCTCTGTATTTTTTAATTTCCACAATGCTTGTTAGTTTTCAAAAGCACATTTACATACAGTACCAGAAATGAGCCTTACAGCTACTTTACAGAGCGAGAGGGGCAAAGTTATTATTTCCACTGTATAGGAGGGGAATCAGAAAGATTAAGCAACTAACTTTACACAGTCAGTGACAGTTGGCCTCCTCATCTAGTGTGTGTTTCCCACATTCGCCGTACTTCAGCCTCTGCTGTGTGGTCAGAAACAGATGCCTTCCTCAAGACTGTGTAACCTTGATGTTTGCTTGAATCTGGCCTGTGAGCATTCAATGTGTAATGCGCCTAGACAACTTTGGAAAAGGTACAGACCATGCAGTCTCCAACAGGCTCATTTCACAGAAGAGAAAACTGAAGTTCAGAGTCCCCCATTATCTGACCCAGGTTCCCAGATGGGGAACTGGTAAATCTAGTTGAACCTGCAATCTTGTGGTTCCATGACTAAGTAACTCAAGACCCCTTCAGGATCCACTAAACCTGATTTGTTTCCCCCTACGCACCCCAAGATAACTACTAAGTCTTCGAATGCAGTATTTTCTATTTCTTTTGTATCTTGTATGGAACTGCCTCCTCACAGAGCATTTGTGGGATTAATTAAAGAATGACTAGTGGCTAATAAATGAATGGATGGGGTTGGGGACACTAATCAAAGAGATCCCACCAGTTTATACCTATTGCGAATGACAAGAAGAGTGGCAGAGGGGAAAACCATACTCTAGAATTTGTGTGTTTCAGGGTCTTTCTTTTCAAATGGAAAGAAAACATATAAGAAAAACTGGTCCCAGAGTACTGGAACTCTGAGATCAATGCATGGGTTTGTGTGTGTGTGTGTGTGTGTGTGTGTGGTGTTGTGTTGTTTTAATACAACTGCAAAGTCCAGGTCTTCTTCCTGCAAGCGCTACTTCCTGTCACCCTAAGGCCACAGGACCTGTGCTCCACAGCCTTCTCTGGAAAGGCCTGGCCTCAGCTCCCCATACTCTTCAGCAGGTGGGGAAATCAGGGGTGATCATGAGACAAACCTGCCTGGGGGTGTATGAGACTTTCTGAATCTTTGCACTTGGAACACCCCAACCTTTAGGAGACTTTCCATCTCTAAACCTCTGAGATCCTCTCCTGATCCTCTGCCTTGTAGCCAGCTGGGCCTTAGAGGACTGCCAGCAAGGCAGTGATAGGATAATGCTACCTCCCACCCCTCATCCCCAGCCAGAGGGGAAGACTGGCCGGGTGTCCCCAGGTCACTCCAGCAGAGCGAGCTGGCCAGGCAATTTCCCAGGAGTCCCAGGAATCCTTCCCCTCCTCTCACCACCAGTGACTCCCTCCTTCGCGGCGCCCAGCCGCACAGTTCATGGCGCCAGCCTGGCACTCCCCCGCCTTACCAGATCAGATCAGCGTGCATACATTGGAGGCACAGGCGTTCCCTGCCTGCAGGCCAGGCCCCCCAGATGCACTGGGGACCAAGCAGGGGTTCCGCACTCTAGGGTTACCTTTCTCATTCGTTGTTCCCATCCTCCCCCAAGAAGCAGATTTTGGAGACTAGCCCACTGCCTGAAGCACCAAATGCCTGTAGGTCACCTTGGGCACCTGGAACAGCAAGCACGTCTGTGCATTGGCTTACACAGGAAGAAATCTGATGTGTGTCACAATAAAGTCAAGCCCAAGATGCACTAGAACCCACACTACAGGTGGACAAGACAAGGGACTAGAATTTGCAATTTGAGTATCTCTTTCTTATGTAAGAAAAATGTAACTTAGCTAAATGCAGTGAAGAGTTTCCCCGGGTTCAGGAGGTCAAGCAGATGTAGACAAGTACATGGGAGTTATTCATGTCAAGCTGGGTTATTGTAAAGGCAAGAGGGAATCGCTGAGGTGGCGCTGGCAGCCAGTGGGCTCGCACGCCAGCCAGGGTGGCCGGCAGTGTGTCCCCCCTGGCGGGACAGTAATTGCCCCGGGTCTGACACGACGCTAGGGGCTCAGAGCGCCACCATCCATCTCTATCCAGTTAGCGGCGCGCCGCCCCTGCCCCCAGACCCGGCGGTAGGCTGGGTTCGGGCTTCAGCTCTGAATAATGGCAATAATTGTCTCTGTGCCTGGCACAGTTCTCAACTGTTCTGGGTTCGCTGCCCCTCTCATTTCTCTGGCCCCATTGGCTCCGGGGTTAAAGTGGGAGGTCAGCTCAAGACCAGGTACATCCTGAGCCAGTGGAGAGCCTCCAGGAGGTCCCAGGATGAGACCGCAATTTTGGCTGCCGGATACCCTTACCCTTCCCTCTGCCGCCACCGGCGCTAACCTACTCCCTGAGTCAACTTGCCCAGCTAATGCAACTATCCAACCTTCGCTCACATCCAAGACCCCCTAGCTTCTGTCTCTAGAATTTTCCACCAGCGATGGGGTCTGGTCATGATTCTCCCCCCCGACAATTTAATAGTCTCATGCCATCATCTGTGTGACACTGGCCATCCATCTTCTCCCAGGGGAGAACAAAGCCAGGCCTCCTGGACTCCAGGCCTCTCTCTCCCCAGCTCTTTCTATTTTGGGACGGCCTCCCCACAATGGCGTCCTTATGAACCATAATGGTGATGTTTATGAAGGCCGCAATACCAGTGTATGAAGACAATTTTATGCCTAATTAGAAAATGATGTAACCCGAGAGAAGACAAAGAAGAGCTGTCCCCTCCCGCCTCTCTCTCTTCAATCACACCCCCGCCCGAATTTCTTAGTCAGTCCCCTAGCGAGCGCTCCAGGCAGTGGGCCTCATGTTTAGACAGTAGCTGAGCTCCTCATTCGCTGCTCCTCTGGCCCTGTCCGTGCATGCGACAGGCGGTGGCCTGGCACGTCTGAGGCTCCGGGCACAGGCTGGGGGCATGACGCCTCCGGGAGAGGGCAGAGGCAGGCGCAGCAACGTAAAGAGATTTGGGACTCGTGGTCCTGCACTTTCTCTCTTCCCCACGCGCCCCCATCCGAGGGGACCTCACCCCTGAGAAGACTCCAATAAATGCAACCCGGCGCCACTCGATTCCGGGATAATTTTTAATATATATGCAATAAATGTTCACTTTGTTAGATTGAATGACAGACAATAATATCGGCAAATCTTCATATCCATCCATTACCAGCAAATGAGCCGCACAAAGGACAGATTTGCTTTTGATTAATTTATTTGCAGACTCGGGTTGATAAAGCAATAACTATTTGGTTAAACTTGACATTTGGTCTTCAGGGGGTTATCAGACAAATCCCTGTCGTTCGAGAGGGATAATAAAGCTGTTTAAAGGGGATTAATTATTAATTGGCTGCAATTAATTTCCCCCCTTTGCTGGGCTGCTGCCACAGTGAGCATCCCTTACCCACAAACAAAAGGCAGGGGTTTGCCCTCCCCGCCACACCGAGCTGGGGCGAGGAAGGGATCCCCAAAGCCCTGAACAGAGATGTGGCCTCTTGCACCCGCTTATACCTTGTTCGTTTTGCCGAACCCCATTCTACACAAAACCCGTCCTTTTCTGTCCTGAGCAGCTTTTCTGTAATGGAGAGTTTGACTGGACATTAATTGGAGTATCGTGGTCTCAGGGCAGATTTTCTAGTCTACATATTTTGGGGGACAGCTACAGTAGCTCGCACTCATTGACCCCAGCGTCCCTCAATTTGTTTCTCTGGGGCAGCGGCTCGGAGGCTGAGCAGGAACCTTAGGTTTAGGAAAATTCAGAGACTGCTCTGCTCGCCGCGCGGAGAGAAAATTCTCTCTCCCCAACTTCCTTTTACGTGCTGTTGCTGAAACCCTTGAGGTAGCCTCCAACTAGTCCACCGACTGCGGGGTTCGCGGGGAGCCAAAGTCAGGCCCTACTCTCGCTTAGATGCGAAATGATTGCGGACTACACTCAGCCCATCGCGCCAAGCCAGGCCAAAGAATGTGCCGGCCGCAGCAAGCGTCGTCCAGGGCGTGCGGCACCTCCCTGACCCTGGGCGCCCCTTCTGTTGCAAATAACCTGTCACAACTTTAAAGAACACACACTGAGACCAAAGCCGGCTGGCCCAGGCTGGCCACCACCGGAGCTGCCGCGTATGCCTCGACCTCCAGCCTTCCCGGCGGCCAGCACCCTCTCCGTGCGCCGGGTTTGGCGCGGGGCGGAGGAGTTCCTCGGTTTTCAGAGCAGAGTATCGCGATCCCGTAAATGTACGGCTCAGCAGACTGCTGGTCTTTGGGGACCAAAACCATGCGCCCTTCGAGGCGTCGGACTGCGTCCCTCTCCACCCAGCAAAGGAATAAACTCAGCTACTCGAAAGGATTCCCCTGCACAAGGAACCCGGGCCAGAGGAGAGGGTGGGCGGGCGCGAATAAATGGGCTCCGAGTGACCTGGGTTAGCGGTCCTATTCGCTCTGAGTTCCAAACAACCTCTAAGTAAACTGATTAGAGAAAAAAATAGTCTGAGGAAAAGAATATGAGTGGGATCACGGGGAGAGATAACTGGGGTTTGGGAGTTGGTTAACATAACCTGCCCGAAGAAAAACGAATAGAAAACCCTGGCTTCGGCCGCTCTCAGCTCTCCCCCTCCCCTTTTTAAACTTTCCTTTTCTGGGATTTCAAATAAAGTGGGGGGCTTCGCACTAAAAGGGAGCCTCGCAGCGCGCCGAAACGCGGGGGCGCCGGGGCGGGAGACGCGCGCTGGGTGCGCGCCCGCGACGCTGCGAACCCAGCTCCCGGCCCCCAACGGCGCTTAGGAAGTTGTCACTCCTCTCATTTAACGCCCAAGAAAATGCATTCACGAGATTGTTTCTTTATTTTTTTCTCTCTGCCGCCTCCGCATTCTTTGCCTATTTGCTCTAGGGCTTTTCAGCCATGTTACGGCCAAGAAAAGAAACCAGGTTCTTTTCTCTCGCGATTGGATCCGTATTCCTAGTTGGGGCGCCTTTTGATGTCCCCATTTAGCGCCTTTCACTGGTCAGCTGAATGGGGCCGCCCGCTTTTGTCTTTTCCCACAAGTCCCTTCAGAAAGACCCCTTTAAACGCCGGGTACCCGCTGATGGATCCGTTTTCAAACGGCGCGGGGACAGCAGCGCCGGAGGCCGCGTCTCCTTAGTAATCGCGCGGGCCGGGCGCGGCGAGGGGTCGCGGCAGGGGTCGCGCTCACCCGCCCGGGCTCTGGGCGCTGGGGGTGGGGAGCGAGGGGTGATCCGCACTTTTGTCTCCCCGCGCCCCTGCGCCTCGCGCCGCCCGAGCCGCTTCCCCCCGCGTGCGCTGCGTTTTCGCGGGGTCCCGGGGGTGCTCGGGCTCACTCCGCAGTCGCACCCTCTGCCATTCAAAGTGGGTGGGGGTGCCGACTACTTAGAGCTGCTCCCGAGACCCCCACCGAGACCGACGCCGACCCCCAAGTCCCGGAACTCTAATCCCGAATCCCCCCTTCCCAGGTGGGGCCAGAATTTTCCAACTGTCCCACCCCGTTCCCTCCCGAGGCTCCCGGGCCGCGGAAGCCCCGCAGAACTCTCCTCGGTCTCACTCCGCTCCAGGTTCTCCGGGTTCTCCCGGCCGGGGTCCCCTAGAGACCCCTAGACCCAGGCGCCCCTCCCCCACGCCCACAGGGGCCGCGCCCGGCTGGTGCAGTGCGGGACGGTGGTCGCCGCCACGCGCAGCCGACCCTCCCGGAACCCGCGGCGCACCTGGCCGGAGGCCTGTGCTCTCCGGATCCGGAGCGAGCCACTGACCCTGAAAACGATTCCACTTGAAAACCAGAGTGGGCCCCAAACAGAAAAAGTCCGAGGCCTTTTTGTAGGAAGCCCGGGAGGTGCCCGGCCGGGGCTCGAACCCAGATCCGCCTCGCCGGCTACTTACGTTGGAGGTGCGCGCATCCCACGCGGCTCTGACCTGCCTCCGCCGCTCTCGATTATTTTATACATTTCTCGGCGATACACTTATAAACAAGTGGAAATTTTGCATCCTACTGCACCATTTTATACATGATGAGCCGTCAGTAATAGGATTATTAAACAAAAACCGTCTCAGGCGCTGGCGTTAACCTTTTTTAAAACGGCTAATTAGGTTTTGCACAGAAAAATTAGATTTAACATTGCTTACATTGCCTACATTTTCAGTTGATGCTCCGGTAATTTCGGATAGGCCGGGCTACAGCCATGGAAAGAGATCATAAAAATTAACTATTTTAACATATATTACAGATCCCCTATACCAAAATAAGGCAAAGGATATTTTCATGATCAAATATTATATACATAAAACTAATTATCTTTTTTCGGCTGCCTTCATCAATTACCGGGGAGGGAGGGGCGCCGCGCGCCCTCTGGTGGAGCGAGCCGGGAGCGGGCTCGGCGCTGTCGGTGCGATTAAATGGTAAAAGGTATTTCTGGTTCCCCTTTTCTCCTTCGGATGTTTTCTCTGTTTTAATCGTTCATGCTTATTTTCCCCTCCAGACCTATCCAGAGCAGTAGCTCGCCACAGCTTCACACATCTAAATAAAGTGCCTGCTAAAATAAAGCGTTTCCTTTTCAGCGATTTTAGAGGCAACACGAAAAGTCAGGTGTCAAGCCATTTGCAAGCCTGGTTTTCGAGAAGGGCTCATTACATTTTAAAAAATCAAATATCCAGTAGTCTAGATGCTGTATATAGTAAGATTCTCACGTTGTCTCTGGTTCCCCAGTCCACCCACCCACCTCTCACCCCCATACTGGAGACACCCTAGGGTCTTCTCACTGAGCTACATCCCAGTCATTTTTTTTTTTTTTGACAGAATTTCGTTAAATTGTTAAGTTGCCCAGACTGTGCTCCAGCTTGGAATCCTCTTGCCTCAGCTTCTCAAAGTAGTAGGATCATAGGGCTGTGCCACCAGGCCCAGCTGTCTGTGATTAATTTAAAAGAAATTATTGTAGGGTGTTGGAGTGTTTGCTCCAACATAGAAGACATAAAAGAATGGCGCCCCTGTCTCCAACTGCACTCCTTAAAGCAAAACTCAGTGTGTCGCTCTCGTGAGCTGAACAGGTCCTACGGGTGAGCTGAACAGGTCCTCCGGGCCTGATGTTCTCAGAGCGTGCCGGCGCCCTTCGATTTGGAATCTTGCTTTAGAACTGAGATTTGTTTTACTCAGAGGGGTTGCAGGTGGGCGGTGAAGTTGCTCCCATTCACCTGCAGCAAAGGGCTGAAGCACAAGAGGGAGGATATGTGAAGAGTTCATTTTTTTAAAGGATAAAACAGAAGGCGGCCCAAAGAGGTTATGTGAGTTACTAAGAGGTAGAAGAGGAAGAAGAGAAAGAGGAAGAGGAAGACAAAATAAAGGCAATCTGTAGTACAAATTATTTTAAAAGAGCATAAATACCTGTACCTGTGCTGTATTGTGTACACTACTGCTATTGTTATAAATCATGCTATCCCTATGGAATGAACAACAAGTTCAAACTAAAGGCCTTTTATTCAAGCTTCCTGGTTTCATTATTGTAACTCATCATTGTTTAAATCCTTCTGAGCAATCTGGCAAATCCGCAACAAAAATTTTCTTAAAAAACTAAAAATTACCAGCCTGAAATGTTTTATTAGTTTGCCAGTCCCCGAAGCTATGTAATGTTATGTAAGCGAGAGGTAATGAAATCAACAAAATATGTAGTTTCAAAAAAAAAAAAAAAAAAAAAAAAACTAGTCTCCTACTGGCCCATCTGAATGGTGACTGGCCCTGAGCACAGAAGTCCACACAGAGACCGGTGAGCTGCTTTGGTGCTGTTTTGGTTTGCATGGAACTCAGTTTCAAAATTCAGCAGAAAGCTGTACTTAGTAGCACACAGTAGATCCCTCCAGGTTTGGATTTGTTTGTCTTATTTTTCAGGAAGAACAGCCTCAGTGACGGTTACACTCTACAGAACAGATTCGACTGGCTCACTCTTCTTTAATAAATAAATGACATTAAAGAGTCTGGCGGCTCTGAAAGGCAGGGTTTTATGAGCTAATCACACCCCTGGGGGGAATCTGGTTGTGTGTAGTGTAGTCTCACCCTCAGGGTGTGATTACACTGTGGTAACCACACCCACCTGTCATGCTTTATTTCTCAACTAATAAATCACTACAAATGAGGTGATCTACACACTCATATATCTGGAACCCCTCCTTGCACACAGAAGCAGACCCCTCCGGTGAAACCAGTGGAGAAAAGTGATGTTCTCTGAATCAATAAATACTGTTATGCTCTTAGAGATAAAAATTCTAAGGCTGGGGTATGGTTTAGGTATGCCTATTTTCCTTTCTTTTTTTTTTATTTTCCTTTCTTTTATTGACATTAAAAAGAGCTGCTAAATTCCTCTAGCCACTCACAGTCCTACACTTTTGATCATCTCAGAAGGGTCCCCAGTCTTGTATTTAGTGTTCTCCTGCTAGATTGAAGCACCAGGTTTTGCTGGGAATTTTATCTGTGATCCTAGGGTGAGCAAAGAGCAGGCTTTTGTGTTGTGCTCTTTATCCAGGGATGGCTAGGACTGTCAAATGTGTTCTTAAAGTCTCTTCATATAATCAGTGTCGCTCGCGTTGTACTTGTGTTCCTCTGGTCTCATTTTCTCTCTTTCCTACCCTGTTCCATCTTTCTCAGGATAGCATTCATTTGCTTTAGCTTTACCGAGTCTAACTGACAGGACCCATTGTCATCTGCCTATAACTTTTGTTCTGGCTTTTATCCTTCCAAAATAAGAATGCCATGCCCATTAAAAAAAGAAAAAAGATTTCTTGAGTTGATCCCATACAGAGTAGCATTCTACATAAAATGGAAATGGTTCACCCAAAAATAGAGCATATTACACCAAAAGCCAAAGAAACGCTGCCCACCAACCAGAAAAAAGGTGCATATATTTTTGCAAAAGGTTTTGCAAAGAGAAGAAAGAAATGTACTTTGTCACTAACTTGCTCTTTGCCGCCTTGAGACAAATTTTGAAAACCTGCTGCCAAATCTTCCATCTCCCTCCTCAGCCCTGAGAGAAAGCAATAATTCAGCCAGAATATCTGGAAAATTTGACTCTTACTACCCAGGATTGCTTTGGCAGTTCGGACCAGGATGTCCCACTCCAATGTCCAGATAGTTGTTCCGGTCCGTTGCCCATGAGATACAATACCTCTTGCATTTGGAGCTGAGGATAAGGAAAAGGTTTGGTGGACTGTTGCAGGAATATAATGAAAAGGAATCTCCACACTGTATGCTTATCTACAGAATCTGACCTCCATTTCTGAGGATTAATTAACATTAGGGACATAAATCTCGCTGTAAATTTGGAGCTAAAGTGAATTTTTTTAAAGCTGGATTAGCAAAGTGTTTTGGTCCATGGATTCTCCTAGACATTCAAACTTAGAATTTTCTTCTTTTTTAAAAATTATATTCTTATTGCTTCCAAAAATCTACCAAAGCTTTGTCAGTGTCAGAGACACACATCTCAGTCCAACACCAATTACCATCAAGAAAGTTTGAGAGCTGCCTGCCATGCTGTTTAATGCTGTTTTCCACTTCCCCAGAGACACAGTGGGGTGAACCAGAGGAAAAGAGAACGCCACATTCATTTTAGTTCAAACTTTTTCATATGACTCCTCCTTAGATGGTTTGTCTCCTCACCCCTTACATTTTCCTGGGAATCCACTCTCTGACCATCTTCCATCTTTTAAAGTCTTGCCTCTCTGTTACCAGTGCCCAGTTATAGCTGCCTTCTTGGGACCAGCGTTTACATGTGGCAGCAGAAAGAGCGTTGCATTTGGAGTTGGAGGAACTGACGCTGAGTTCCAAACTCATTCATACTGCAGAGAGAGGAAAAGGATGAAATCTTTTCCAGCACATTCTGATTTTACAGACATGTCTGAGGTCCACCCCCAGGATTTTTTTTGTTTTGTTTTTTGTTTTTTTCTCCGGTACCGGGAACGGAACTCACAACCTTGTGCTTGCCAGGCAGGGGCTTTGCCGCTGAGCTAAATCCCCAGCCCCAACCCCCAGGATTTTCTAAAACTTCCCAGGACTTATGCCAGTAAAGGTAAGGAACCTGTGTCTTACACTGTACCAAAGGAACACTGGGCTCAGTGAGACCACAAAACCAGAACTGGAAGGGTAGGAGAAACAATGTGGGCATCAAGATGGGCTCTCACTTTGTTACATTCTTTCGGGGGAAAAAAGCCCAAATTGCTCCTTATAATACTGTTCATGTTTGTGTTTTACTATGTAAATAGGGTCTTGGAACATGATCTTGAAGGGCAGAAAACATATGTGAAGTCCGGACTCTGATATTCTAGCTAGGTGACCTTGGATAACACTCTTTATTTCTCTTGGGCCTTGATTTTTAAAAAAACCAGCAATGTGGAGTTGACCATCTCTAGTACATAGGAGTGGTATGAGGATCAAGTTATTATAATAATAGCTGTCTTTCACTGCAGGCCTGCCCTGATCCTCAGGCATCGCCATCTGAGTAAATTTTCTCATCTACTTCTTGTAAAGTCCCACCTGAGGAAGGTTTTATAAGAGGATAGTGCACTGAAAAGTGCTTTGCAACTGATAGAGTTGTATGAAAATATGATCTAACCATGTATCACATGGTAGAAAGACATGCAGGTCTGTTTTGATTTTGTTTCTTCCTTATATCTTATTAGTCCTTCATACTTTTGCAAAATTCTTACTTATGTATTACACAAGAGTATAGAAGTGAAAAGTAGAGACACTAAGTGTCTTAGCTACTTTTCTCGTTGCTGAGACAAAATACCTGACACCCAAAGTTAAAGGAGGGAAGGATTATTTAGCTCACAGTTTGTAGAGGTTTTTAGTCCATGATCGGCTGGCTCCAGGGTAGTGTGGCTTGGCAAAGGAGAATGGTCACAGCTGGCAGACTGTAGCAAAGCAACAAGCCAGGGGAGACAAGACTCTTTCTGTTTCTTATATATTGTAGCTAGATTGCTGGGATTAGGGCAGTACCAAACCAAGCAGTGGACTGATTTAGCAATCACACACCCTTAATCCCAGCATCACAGGTCTAGATCTAGTCACCTCTGAAAAAGCCTAACACTGAGTGAAGCTTTGAGGGAACGTCAAGATACAAACCATAACACTAAAATATATACTTGGCTCTTTTAACATCAAGGGCATTGATCTTTCCACTGTGTTTGACCAGTATCTACTTATTGTAAATTATACCATGTGTGAACTCAAAAGTCCCTTAGTTCCTTGCCATCTAGCTGTCACAAATCAGCTTCATAGGGTCGGGGATGTAGCTCAGCGGCACCAGTGCCTGCCTGGCAAGTGCAAGGTCCTGAGTTCAATTTCCGGTACCAAAAATAAATAAATAAATAAATAAAAATAAAAAAACAAAGTAAAACAAATCAGCTTCATCAAAACCTAAAAGAGCCAGGCATGGTGACACATGCTGGTAATCCCAGCACTTGGGAAGCTGAGGCAGGAAGATTGTGCTAAATTCGAGAATTTGCCTGGGCTACTTAGCAAGACCCTGTCTCAAAACAAAAATAAAAACAAAAACCTGAAAGAGTTGTAAATGTTTCATTTCTCTCTATCACAAGTCTGGCTTCTATCTTCTGGCTATGGGTACTTCTATTCCAGGGCTACATGCCAATTTTGGGCCTCTGAAACATGGTCATTTATTTGGATGTGAAGGCGTTCAGACTTGCCAAAATGTGGACCAATAATCCTGAGCTCGAGGATGTATTTCTTTTTTTTTTGTCTTTTTGAGACAGGGTCTCACTATGCAGTTTAGGCTGGTCTTGAGCTCACTTTGTAGCCAAGGTTGGCCTCAAACTCACAATGATCCTCATGCCTCAGCCTCCTGAGTGCTCGGATTACAGGCGTGTGCCACCATGCCCAGCTTTGAGGATGTATTTCTTAACCGAGAAGCTTATAGTTGATCTGTTTTTACAACTCTTGTTGATAATATCACTTTTTAGAGGAGGCAGGAGACCTAAAACACCCTTTGATGAACATCTATGCATTATGTACCTGAACAATTTAATGTCGTCACTAGTTCTATTGTATTTAAACCCTGTTCCGTACACTCAATTCAGCCCTGGTCCAGTTCACTTCGTAGAGTATCCCTGGTACCTCGCTTGTCTGGCAGCCTATGAGACTGGGTTATAAATTAATGCTACCTTTTGTTTTCTAACGTTTCTCGGTTGTCCATCCGCCAGAGGGCAGCGACAATTCTGCTAAATGCCTGTAGCAGTAGTAAAAGTTTTACTGAAATTGAAACTAATTTAGTGTGATTTTTAAAAAATTACAGGTTTTATTGATCCTTGTTCTGTCGGTCCATGGTTTCCATGAGTGGACTGCCCTCTGGTGGACAGGAACTGTCAGTTCATACAAAAAAAGCAGCGTCTGATTTTTCTTCAATTAATATTAATTGTAATCACATGAACAGTAAGAATTGAATCTATATTATGTCAAATTAAATTGAAAAAGAATCCTGAAATTCCTCCAGGCATACTTGGAATAGTCTCAATTGTGAGCACAGGGTCTTAACCTTTGCACAGCACATTTTCATTTGACTAGCGTGGTGGTTGGGAAGTTGTGAATTCCAATCGGCAGGTTATCTCACAGTCGCTGATATAACTGACACAGATTAACTATTTTCAAAGTGAGTACAAAGGATAGAATGGAACACATGGACCACTAAATGTCAGTTCCAGTAATACTTGAAGAAAATAGCTAATACTCGTGTGTGTATGTAAGATGTATAAATTCTTTTCTCCTTTCTGATACAAGGTGTATGGGTGCTATCACTCTTGTGCAGTCAGGAAATGGAAAGCCTCCATACAGCTGGGGAAACGGCAGGGCTAGAATTTAGGGCTGGGTGACTGAGTTCCAGAGAGCACACTCTTAATCCCTTGCTAAGTACCGGTGCTTACCAAGCACAGAACACATTAGGATCGCACAGGGTCTGTCCACGGAGCGTTGCTGCCCCCCACGCTGCTGTCAGTGTAGAGATTGTAGGAGAGTAGAGTTAACCTATGGCGGATGCCCCTCTTCCCATTCCTGAATCTTTCACTTTCCTCCCCACTGTGATACCTTGCAGAACACTGTGCATTTGAGTGGCATAAATCTCTCTTATCCATGAGTTTGAGTTATTCAGGGTCTTTTTCAAAAATTCAGCTCTCAACTTATTTGCTTTTCATTTCTTTTTCACAAAACCAGGTTGGACCTTACATAATAAAAATCTGGTTATCTGACCCATTCAGAATAACATGTGAGACTCTTCACACACGTTACAATCACAATTAGCACACACAGAAATGGGTCTTACTCAACTTAGTAAAGGAGGCTATGTACCTGGTTTCATTTTTCTGAGGTAAATTTTCTTATCATGCTGGAAGAAGGAGGTCCATGTTTCCACATAGAACTCCTTTAAGAGGGTCTTTGACACTGGACTTAATGAAGGCCACAGAAAGATTTATTGACAATCGCTGACCTCATGTTCCAGAATGAGTCCTATACAACAGACTCCATGTCCTATGAGTTCATCCCTCCAGGGGCAAACAGTCCTGAAGAGTTTCTTCTCAGAGTGACCCAAATTACACAGTTGGCCCTGTGGACTCCTGTGGCTCTCCAGGGCTCCAGGTCTCTAACTATCTCACCTGGCTGCTTCACAGCCTTGATCTTTGCGAGGCTTTGGTCTCCCGTTTGGTTGGATGAGACACTTCCTACTGAAGAACCAAAACCGAACCTCTTTTACATAGAACCAGGAACTATTGGCAAAGATGAGGTCATTCTTTTGAATCACTGCATGCCTGGCATGTGGGGGCCTCCCTGACACAATGTTCTGTATGTGAGAAGCACTAATAAAAGATGTCCGTTGTTGAACATACCTGGGAGTAGTACACCAGGTATTTTGGGGTTTTTTGTGTTTGTTTTTTGGTGCTTAAGATCAAACCCACAGTCTTATACATGCTAGGCAAGCGCTCTACCGCTGAGCTACATTCCTAGTCCCCCAATTTTGTTTTCATGCACCCATTTTCCTAGGAATCAATAACTGCATCAGAACTCTACTAACAAGCACACACTTCAGAGATTTTTTTGAACAAAGGAGGCGGAGGAAGCTGTATAACTGGCCTAAGCAGGACGCCATGGTTTCAAAACGGCCTAATGCATCTAGAAACAGAGGTTCCTAGAGCTTCATCTTTAAATTAAATATTAACACTGCCAGAAGTCTTCCTTTTATGCCTGGGTCTAATACAGTTCATTTTGAGGGATGTTTAGCTGGTGTTTAGCAAACCTAGAACCAAGGGAAGACACTTCAGGTGACAGCACAACTTTAGAGGATTTTCAAATTACACACATACAAAACAAACTGTAATAATTGTCAAACCTGAAGTATGGATATAATTACTATAGGCTTTAATTAAGTCCCCACCCTGAAGAAAAAAGAAAAAACTTAACCATCTGCATTCACCCAGAAGCACATGCATCATGGTTGAAATCAGGCCGTCTGGGTGTTTTGGACACAAAAGAAACCTTTGAAAACTGATTTGAGCATATGAGTGTCAAGAACCTCAGAACAGAGCCAATCCAAAACGTGCCACAGTGTTTCCATTCAGAGGGCATCAATGTGCCTCTTTAACGGTTTTTCAGAATCCCAGGAAATTGTGATTACATGGCATTAGCTTTTCATTTTCTAAAGAATGGGTGAAAAGCATGAAAGTCTGCTCAACAATGTAAAGAAAAGTATTTTTGGTTCTGGTAAACTTCTGCTGTTCTCTGATTAAAAAAAAAAAAAAACTAACAGAAAATGCCTTTAAGATACCAAGCAAT